TTTCCTTATGTTTATCTGGTGAGAATATGAAGAGCTCAAAAGGAATATCCCATGCTTGGAATCTAAGCACTCCCGTTTGGAAGAATCATAAAAAAATAAGATGTATTATTTAATTGTCATAAACATTAAAAAATATATATATACATATTAAAATGACTATTAAGTACTAATCTTTTCTTCTTTCTTATTCTTGTTGCATCTACTACTGTTTTCAACCAAACCAATAGGAATAGGAAAGCTTTATAAACGGCAATATTAAAAGTCAAAAACATTGTTTGATTTTTCTTTATACAAAAGCATGAGTAAACTGCAAAAATTGTCCTTGTGGTTTATAATGTTCTTTTGGTTTGGGTTTAAAAATGAATTTGATTTCATTTTTGTCCTTATTTCAAGTTTTTGGTCCCTGACTTTAACTATGTGGATTAAAAACTGGTGAGTACAGATAAAGTGACCGATTTACCCTCTATTTTATATTTCTATTTGGAGTAAATGACACTTTGGTCCGTGAGTTATGAATATACTTGATTTTTGCATTTTTTGGTCCCAATAGGTTTTCTCTTGTAATGTTGATCTTTATTATTTGAGTTTTTGATCAATGTTCCAATTAAAATGATTATTTGTGGTCCTTGAATATAGCTGACTTTTAAAATTTGGTCCCAAAAATATAGTCATATTATTTTGAACAGGGATAATAAAATAATTACAAAATGGTCATTTTACAAAAAATGCAAGAGAAACTTTTTGGGAAAAAAATAGCAAAAATCAGCTAACCCCGGGACAAAAAAAACATAATATACTCTTTTATTTATGATTATTACCATTAACAATTGTTATTTTTATTACTTTACAATATCATTAACCCAAATATATACACGGGGTAAAATGGTCATTCTCCCACCTATTATTATATCCAACATAAACATATTCAAATTAATCATTTTTTTTTCTTTTACTTTTCAAAGCTGCTTTTTGCATTGCCAAATAAAAAAATAAAATAGAGATAAATAAACTTATTAACATTAAGAGTCTGAAAAACAAACTTTATTTGTTTGATCATTTGTTCCATTTCTTTCTCTATGAATTCAGCCTGCTCATACCTAAAATTTAGCAAATGAAAACAATAAGAAGCGCCTTGTTTGTAATGTGCAAAAGACATAAATGCCCTCAACTCCAGAAACTTACATTGCATCTCTGGTTGAAGTTGCTTCATCATCAAGAAGTAAGCCATGTTCATCTTTGTATATTCACTCAGCTTCTTCTTCCACACATTGTAAAGACTTGTCAAACTAACAACAACAATTTATTTAATTATTATTATTATATACCAATTTACAACAACTACCACCCACTGAATCAGTATCATAATATTCAAAATAGCTCTTGCTGATGAGTCTCGATAAGTTCAAGCTAGCGCTCAAGGTTTAATTGAGTCTCAACAACTTTAGCAACTTCTGACTGTTTGTTTTGTTATAAACAAAATTTAAAATCAAAAAATAAATAAAAAAAGGTGGATGGCAAAACATAATTTGTGGTGTCAGAGGGTAAAAGAGTAACGCATGCTGATTAATAAAAAAGTGTGGCAATACAAAACATAAAATATATAATTAATTCTTTTAGTGTATTTGTGGAATTTTTCTCATGTATTCCAAAGTAGGACCCAAGAGTCTCCGCTGGAAAAAGTGGAATTAATATGCAGCTACAATTTTGTGGTCGTAGTTTGTTGACTTGAGTAGTTGCAAATTTGTCAAACACTGTTGGAAATTTAAAGTTTCCAAGAAATTGCAATTGAATTTTGTATATTTCTAATACATGCAAGCAAAATTGCATACACACACAATCACACACCCATATAGACCAATAAGCCAATTTTGATACATAACTCAGCTGAAAATATAAAGATATCAGATATAGAAGGAAATTGCTACCCTTGACTAAATACACATTAAGATGATGAATCTCCATAAGATCTTTAAAAAAGGGTACTTCAGGAACATCATAAACTTCATAATGTACAAATTTGAAATCAGATTCTATTTGTTGGCCAATTAAGAAAAACAGAGAAATGAATTTTTGATGGAATGAGGAGTACTTTGAGCATCCTACATCAGTTATGCTATATTTAGTTTAGCAATCAAACATACTATTTCAATTTTGAAATTGGTATTTACATATTAATTTTCAATTAAAAATCCTATAACTGCTTCAAAAGTTCCAATAAATATTATATATATAAAAAGAAAACAATATCAAAACCCTAAAATAATGAATATTAACTAAAATTGAAGTAATTCTAAGTTTGACATTGAAAGTTAGAGCAGGAAGTATCGTGTATCAAAAGTTTTAGTTTATAAACAATCATACAGAATATTTCCTTGTATACGTTCTACATTCCCATGACACAAGGAAAAAATATGCTAAACTCTACAAAAACCAGTGGCAATTTCAGCAAAAAAAAAAAAAAAAAACGAGTACAATTTTAGCAATAAGAAGTTTTACAAGGTTGTTCTATTTCGGAAGGCCATTCAAAGCAATCTCATAATCCAAGTATTTAGATAGATTGAAGATGAAATTTGAAATTGTACTCAATAAACCTAATCAAGATGGAATCGAAGATAAAGCTTGAAAAATCGAACATGCAAAGTCAAAAATCGAAGTTGAAATCAGAAATCGAACCCTGTAGCCGGAGGTAGAACGTCGTCGTCGGTGTGTCTGGCCGGATCATGATGTGGGAGTAACAGCTTAACCTAGATGAGTAAAGTTGCGCAAAGAAGATCGATGTTTACCCGAACGGAAATTGTGGCGTCGGAGGGCATTTGGGCTTCCTCTTCACCATTGATGAAGGAGTAATCGCAATTCAACATAAGCCCTAGTATACATGAGAAGAAGAAACATCGGAGAAGTATCAGAGGTAAAATCGAGTATCAGAGGTAAAATCGATTTTATCAACGTAAGGATAAGGGCTAAGGAGAAGGGCAGTGTTGGTATTTGACTTTACAGAGTCGAGCGGGAAAAAACGATTGGGTGGGCTTAGAAATTACCACGTGGCAAGAATAGCTCTTATTTATTAGGATAGTAGATTTCTTTCCCAAATTTCCTTTATCTATTAGGGTTAATTATTTTCAATTATCCATTGATTACAAAATACAGATTTTCAATTGTTAAGTCTTGAATACTCATGTGTGGATTTCGCCTTTGGAATTTCCAGATTTAGGTTGGAGCGAACTCAAGGAAATAGTCAACGAGTCAAGGCTCTCAAGCAACAAGAATGAGTGGTTATAACATTAAGTATAGTAAAATCCAAATGTCTCCATATTTTTGGTCGCTTAGATCCTCGGCCTCCCATGGGTTGCCCTCCTCAAGCTCATCACCATGAGAGCTCTATGCTATGTATACCCCATGACCAATGACCTAATTCATTTATTCTTCTTAACAAAACTTGTTCTTATTCTTTTCAATTCATTTATGGTATTAACAATTTTTTTGGGTCTTCACATTCTTTCATTTATTTTCTCAACAAAACATGTTCTTATTCTTGGGTGTTCACATTCATTTTGGTATAAGTGACATTCACTTTAACACTTGGATGACACTTTAAAAGTTTCTATATTCTTCAAAACCATGGTATCAACAAATTTTTGGGTATATGATGTAATGCATAGAGGTCATGCAAATCACCCCTCCATTCCATATGAGCGAAGCACATTTTTCATATTTTGAAAGATGGGCTGGTCTCTGTCACATCATCACATGGAAAGTGATGGAACTTAGCTGATGTGCATCATCCCCTGCATGGCCCTTATATGTTATTTTAAGTAAACTGGTTATGGATTTTGGAATTTACTTATGAAGTCAAAATTGCAGTTTGCCTTGTTGTCAGCAAGTCAAGAAATCATCCCACGTTTTTTTGTCAATTCTGTTTAAACCCTAGAAAACCACGCCCCCTCTTTATCAATAATTCCGTTTCCCATGCATATAAATGCTTCCACTTATTCTTCTCCCAAATCAGCAAAATCATTTTCAGTTTTTAATCATTTCTTCAAAATGAGGAAAACCCATTTTATTTCTCTACTTCTTATTACAGCGGTATGCCTTCTTCTAGTTCTTCCACATTTTCATGGAGGATTAGCCATTGCTGCAGGCACCAAAGATGGATCAGAAAAGTGGGGTTATGTTCAAGTCAGACCCAGTAAGATTCAGCCATCTTTTTCTATTATTTTATATTATTTTTATGAGAATCTGCCTTTCTACATTTTCAAGATTGGATTTTTTTTTTTTTTTTTTTTTTTTTTTTTTTTTTTTGGATTCTTGAGTTTAAAATTCTTGTTTGAAAACAGGAGCCCACATGTTTTGGTGGTACTACAAAAGTCCTTATAGAACTCATCATCCAAACAAGCCATGGCCAATTGTTCTTTGGTTACAAGGTGGACCTGTAAGTGGTTGTATTTTGATTTAATTTAATAAAAAAATTATTTATTTTTCGATTTGGAGATGTTTTACCATTGAAATGCAGGGTTCTTCTGGAGTTGGAATTGGAAACTTTCAAGAGATAGGGCCATTGGACGCTTTCTTGAAACATAGAAACTCCACATGGCTCAGAAAGGCAGATCTTTTATTTGTGGTATGAAACTTTTTATTAAAAAAAAAAAAAGATTCTTGAATTTCATTTCCGTTTTTTAATAGATTTGTGGGAATTTAGGATAATCCAGTTGGGAGTGGATACAGTTTCGTGGAGGATAAAGAGTTATTTGTGAAAAACGATGAAGAAGCTGGGCGTGATTTAACTACATTGTTGATTAAACTTTTTAATAAAAATAAGAGCCTACAAAAAAGCCCTCTTTATATTGTAGCAGAGTCTTATGGAGGAAAATATGCAGTCACTCTTGGATTATCGGCTCTCAAAGCCATTAAAGCTGGGAGGTTAAAGCTCATTCTTGGAGGTATACATATATTATTAATTCTGATCAATCTTCAAAGTGGTAATTAATTCCATTCAAACAAAACACAAATCAAATTAACATTTTTCATGTGGGAATGTAGGAATTGCATTGGGAGATACTTGGATTTCACCAGTAGATTTTGTGGTGAGTAAAGTCGATACATGATATCAATATCAAATTAATCTAACAAAAATTTGACTTTCTTTCTCAAAATTGAACTTTTGCTATTGAATTTTTTAGGTTTCATGGGCTCCTCTTCTCAGAGATGTTTCAAGGATCAACAACAGCGGCTTCAAGAAATCGAAGAGGTTCATTTGTGCAACTGTGTGAATCTTGGTGTTGTGTGTGTTTTTAAGTAGACGATCGATTGGAGTAGATTTTTTGATCTGACAAACCCTTTTCAGGGAATTAACAGTCTAGTTGAAACAATAAAGAAGCAAATAGCAAATGGGCAATTGAAAGAAGCAACTAAAACATGGAGTGATCTTGAAAATGTGATCATGTCCAGCAGTAACGATGTTGTAGGATTCTTTTCCTTCTTTTTTCTTTCTTTATTACGTAATTATAGATAGAATCAAAATTAAAAATATATATATAATTTGATAGGATTTCTACAACTTCTTGTTGGATTCTGTGGAGAACAACGTGTCAACGACAGCAACAGCCGGATCATCAAGAAAAATGGCGACCAATAAATACACAAGATATCTTGATTCTTTGAGGGTTTCCGCAGGTGGAGATGGTGATCTTGACACTTTAATGAATGGTGTCATTAAAAAGAAATTAAAAATCATCCCGAAAGATGTGAAGTGAGTTTTCAGTTTTCATTTTTTTTTTTTTTTTTTTTTTTTTGTGAAAAAACTTTTCGAGCTAAATTTTGGTTGTGACAGATGGGGAGGGCAGGCAGATCCTGTTTTTGAGTATTATGAAGGTGATTTCATGAGACCGAGGATTAAAGAGGTGGGTTTTTGAGGATTAAGATTATTAAATTGAGACGAGGTTTCAGTAAAAACATCATTTTTTTCACTTGTTATCATTTATATAGGTGGATGAACTTTTGAAAGCAGGAGTCAACATTACTGTATATAGTGGTCAAGTAAGATATTCATAAGCACAATCATTGGTACAAGTGGTGGAATTGTGGTTGTTATAAATTGATCTGGTTTGTTGATTTGTAGCTTGATCTCATATGTTCAAACAAGGGAACTGAAGCATGGGTTGAGAAGCTCAAGTAAATTCACTTCTCTTTTTCTTCTTCTTATATAGTTAAATTTACATGTACAAAAAAAACATTTGATCGTTAATTGAAAGTCAATAATACCATTTTTATCTTCACAAAAGAAGACTCGATCGAATCCTCTTTTTGTTCGTAAAATATGGTTTAAAGAGCAAGTGTCACACACAAAAGTTCAAACAACTGATATGATTAACTATATGGACATATATGTAAGGAAAATATTGATAGATGCAAATTTGATTATTGTGATTTTACCTTGTTGCCCTTGTATGATTTGTTTGTGACAAAATCAGGTGGGACGGGTTAAAGAAATTTTTGAGCCTGGATAGAACTCCATTGTATTGTGGAGGTGACAAAATTACTAAAGGATTCACCAAGTCTTACAAGAATTTATACTTCTATTGGATTCTTAAAGCTGGCCATTTTGTAAGTTTTTTACACTTCTACACCTATACCCCCTTTCAATTTTCATAGGCAAAATACATGTCATGACTCATGAGTTCTATGCAAGAAACTTATTGAAGTCCAAATATAATAATTTTCAGCCAAAATTTTACATGTACAAGTTTACATTCTATAAAGTATAATGCTCTAGAACGTTATGAATACATTGTTTGTAAAACCATTTTTTTATAAATGAGTTTATATTAGCATTGATATTTCTTTAAAACTATATATATATATATATATATATATATATATATATATATATATATATATATATATATATATATATATATATATTAAATCTTGTGGATTATTGTGATTTTCAGGTGCCTTTAGATCAGCCATGTGTCGCATTGGACATGGTGGGTAGAATCACTCAGTCTCCTGCAACAACCTAATAAATAACGAAAGATCTTAGGAGGAAACAAAGAATGAAATTGAATAATAGGAATTAGAAGCCTTTAGCCTTTAAAAAAAAGAGCTGAAGATATTGGTCTTCTGAATCGAGAATTTCATAATATATAATATTGAACTTTATATAACAAATTCTTGATGTTCATGATTAATTATTGCAATATGGTCACAAACACAGTCAAATGCACATGAAAATATCATTTTTGGAATAAGAAAAATTGCATTTTTTTTTTGGAACAGCTAGCAAAATAATAGTATTAGCAAACAAAACAAAGACTTAAGCGAGGAGCTTAAGCCATTACAAGAAAACGTTTAAGAAGGGAGAATTCCACCAACTATGGCAATCAATCAAATTCAAATTAGACCTAAGCTTAATCCAATTAAAAGTGCAAATACTAATGTCATCCCCCATAAACATAATGCTCACCTAGTGTTCCAAAAGACAATAGTGTTATGTTCCTTCCATATCATCCATATAGTGGTATACACTAGAGAAAGCCTCAATGTTTGCATCTTCTTGCTGCCATCTCTCACATTGAGCATCTCCTTAAAATCACCACACAAAGAAGGCGGATGATGAAGAACCGATGACCATTTTACCAGCCATATCAACCCCTCTGCAGCAGCAAAACAAGAGAAAAAAGTGTGATCTAGATTGTCTTCCGACGCAACACACGACAAAAAAGGACAAAGACTTGAAGTAACCACAATCCCGCTTTTGAGCAAGATTGAATAGATAGGAATCCTATTTTTCAAAGTAATTAATCTTGAGTGAAATCCAGTTGATCCATGTTAACATGTTACCATTCCTGCTATCCCCATCAACAATTAAATGCTTAAGGTCTGTAACCGAGAATGTGCCTTCCCCATTGTCATTACACAACCATGTGTCCAAGCCATTTGGAAATTAAAATCAACCAAAAGCCGTCTAGACCAGCCCCAACTCCACCTGTTACTAAAATCTGCCCAATATTCATACGATCCATAATTAAGCAATTTTTTGTTTGTCTCAAAGGCATATAATTTCGTACATAGTTCCTTCAAGAATAAGTCACCACACCTAGCATATTTCCAAAAATGAGTTTTGTTACCCATAACAACCACCCTTTGAAAAAGGTCGGGCAACGAAATCCCCTTATCTCCAAATCAATTTGAGATTTGCTTAACCATGTGCCCTTTATCGATTTGTTTCCAACGGATACCTATCTGTCAATTTTAGTTATGAATAGATTTAATCTCCATCGCCACTAGACAAGAAGAGCCAAGTTATAAGAATCAAAGCATCCCACTTCTAGACCACCCTTATCCTTGGGTTTTATGACCACTTCCCAAGAAACCCAATTGATATTCTTTTTATGTCCATTTCCTCCCCACAAAAACCTCTTCTAATTCCTTCAAGAAGATTAATAACCTTCCTAGGAGACCAAAAGAGAGAAAAATAATAAAATGGAAGGCTATTAAGAACCGAGTTAACAAGAATTAAGCGGCCATCGAAATACAAAGTTCTCGTTTTCCATTTAGAATGGATCTTCAAGCGTTAGCAAACAAAAGATATATACAGTAATAAGAGAAATCTAAATAGATGTTAGAAAGATCAACAAAATTTATTATGCAAAATGCCTCATGTCCATCTGTTTTTATATAAGTTTAACTGTTTTAATCGGGCTTTTATAAAAACCATTTGGTTCATTCTGGTCCACAAATATATATATATATATATATATATATATATATATATATATATATATATATATATATATATATATATATATATATATATATATATATATATATTATTAAAAGCAGTGCTAGTTGAACTATTTTCTTTCCCAGTCCAACATGTTTAACAGTCAGTGGCGGACCGTCTTAGGGTCAGTATTTACATAATCTGATAACCAAGTTGAAAAAAAATAGAATGGCATCCTTGACACCCCCCCCCCCCCCCCCCTCGTGATTTCCATATCATGTGAACATAAACTAGTTACAAAATTTAAAAATCAAAACCAACCTTGAACCTTGTTTCTTTACGATTCTTTAAAATTAAGGAAACTTAATATCTATTAAAATATATAAAAACTCACGATCTAATCAACATTACAATAATATAACCCAATTTTGAGTTTAAGAAACTGAAAAGTGTAAACCTAAAATCCTAAGTTTATCCCGGCCGCCAGAAAACTATTTCTAGAAACTCACCGAAAGAATGCCACCCATTAAGATCGTTGTTGTCTTGTGTCCTTTTCTGGTCGTCGGATTGTCCACCGATCTCGTACCGTACAATTTATCTCCTTTTGCTAGTCTCCGGAGCCTCCTCTTTGCTCGTCGTCGGAGCCTAGACCATTGACCGCTGAGACGTGACCTCCGTTGTGTGATTAATTGAGTACTCCGCTGATTTGATCCCCGTTTCTCACTTCTCTTCTCAGGTAAGTAATTTTGTTTCTCTCTCTTTTTCTTTATATCTCTATTGCTTTCTTTTTCTTTATATTTATATTGATTGTTTTGTTGTCTCCACTACACTAGATACTAGCAACACAATAGTCAATAAACTAGAAATTGTGATGTGTGATTATGACTACAAACTACACACTTTGTATATATTTTACTTTAACTTTATTAGTTTATTATCAATAGAATTATTGATTTATTTTGCATATAAAGTCAACAAATGAGGATGGCATACCTTGAATTAAAAGATGTAAATGTAAATGACTTTATATATATATATATATATATATATATATATATATATATATATATATATATATAAATAGGTGTGTACCCGCACAAAGCTGCGGTAGATAATAGTTTCTCTCAAATAATCGTTTTTTTTTTTTCAAAAACATGTCAACCAATCAAATCCAGTGTATTGTAGTTAACTAATACAAGATAAATCAGTTGAACATTGGATGAGTAAACTTTAGTCGGTGGATATTTAATATTGATCATCTATATATTTGCAATTGGACCCATGTATGTCTCATGCATATTTATACATTAAAACATTCCCACATTGCACAACAGGAAAAAATAATGACAATTTATATATCAAAGTCATACATACATCAAGAATCTAAGCCTGTAAATTTAAAATATTGGATTAAATTTTTACAGTCTACAGAATAATCTTTTTCATCATTTATAGTTGTGAGCTTTGGATTTAACTATGGAAAGATTGTCATTTAGGAGTAGCAAATAACACACCATTCGTCTAAATCAAGGTTAAAGGGATGGCATTTCTCCAAATCTCATTTTCAAAAATTCAATAACATACTACCTACTTCTGATGTCTTGATGAAAGAAAATATTATTCAATCAAGGCCGGCTCTACCCTTTGCAAAACTAAGCAATGACTTAGGGCCCCCCAACTCTAAAGGTCCCCTAATTTTAAAGCTTATTCTATTATATATGTATAATATTAGTATTTCTTGAGTTACAAAGACAAGTTGAAGCTTGATCCAGTAGTAAAAGCACTGGTTTATAAAACTAAAGTTCTCAAGTTCGAAAACTATTTGCTTACTTGAAGGGGCCAAAAAAAAAAAAAAAAAATTGCTTAGAGCCCCCAAATTGGTTGAGTTGCCCCTGTATTCAATACCTTAACAGAGCATACTACCTCTCTAAGTGAGCTCTTCTAAACCTTCTCTTAACCATTCTTGAACCTTAAAAACCTACAAAAAATCTCAAGATCAGAAACTCATTCCGACAAAAGACCATAAGAAATGTTTTACAATCTGAACTCTATCTAATAACCGAAAAAACATATGTCCACACCACGCATGATTTATTGATTTGTACAGAGTGTTTTAAATGGAAGAACCAAACATCCAAAAATGCATTATTTGCTTCTATGAACACCGGTCATCATATTTTGGTTCTTAAGGTGGCACCATCAAACCCGGTCATCAAATTTTGGTTCTTAAGGTGGCACGCGTGCGTGTGTGTTTTAGGATTTTTTAAATTTTCAACAGAACTTGAAAACTATAATCTCAAATACTTGATTATCATAAAATCATTAATATTTGGTACGCAATAAATGCTTAGATCAAACCGATAATAGAGTTGGTTTTCAAAATATTGTCTATATTAAAAGTATAAACTATAGTAAAAGATATTAGTACTAATAATTAGTAGTCTTGTGACCATAGTAAAAATTGGTATCTTTTTTAGTAAAAGATTTATGTTTGTGTTATTTTATGTTATTATCAATAGTAGGTTGCATTGTTTTTCTAAAAAAAAAAAAAAAAAAAAAAAAGTAGAGTGTTTGGCATTGTTTATTTACAACAGTTTATGTTAGTTTTGTGAAAGTGATTATTAGTTCATATGGTACTCATGGTGGATCGAATAAAACTTCCAAACTGAGTCTAAATTTTTAAATGAGGAACTTTTTAGTGTAAACCATTTAAAGCAACGTTTTAAGAACTAATAAGTTTAAACCAAATGCTTAATGGCGAAATAGTAAGAAAATATAAAAGGACCTTCATATGGTGTTAGAATTTCGGGGTAATAAAGGCACTTGGATAATCTGAGAATTATGATTTCACTTTCAAATCAAAGTATTTGAATGGTGCTCCCTAATCTTTGATTGGATAAGACCCAGAAGAGATACAGAATGTAGAATGAGATGAATGAATTTCGCGAGTGCCAAAAAACCGACCAAAAATTAATTAAATACCTCCTTTGTCTGAAAACTGTCAAAACTGTCATAAAACAGTTTTTCCAACAGTCAAAAACTGTCATAAATCACGGATTAATGCAAAGCCAAAAACGGATAAAATATTCAAAATTTGGATTTCGACCCGAGCCAAGGGCCCTGCCCCTTGGACCCCTCTCTCAGGGGCACTGCCCCCGGACTCCCGTTCGTTCAGGGGTTTCGCCCCTAAATGACAGTTTACTTTTAATCTTGAATAAACTTAAACAAGTGTGCACTCCACACCTTCCTTACTCTTTTAGTATTCATCAAGATTGATTTTTGGTCAACAAATCAACCTATTACACTTGAATACATTTAGTGAAACAAATCACCAACATATGGTGTTC